GAGTGCGAAGTTTTATTCTCAAAGTGAATTTATGTTGAAGTAGTGTGCGTCGCGAACAAGTGCCGAGTTACCCGACCCTAGGGCTCACCCTAATGGGCTCGAGAAACCAGGGTGTCATCAGAAGACCAGCCAAGAGGATCCTTGAGAACAAGAAAGAAGAAGAAGTGCCCGTTTACACAAAACTACAGAAAATCACCATGCTTAGAGTCAGTCCCGTTCCATCATCGGAAGAAGAGTATGAAGATATGGAACAAGCCAATGTTTCCACCAGTAACCGTTTCGGACTATTGACGATAGATCAAACCGGAGCAGAAGAACCCACAGCAGCACTCCCAAGAACCGAGGCACCCAAACCACCACGAATTATGGTCACCTCTAAGGTAAATTTTAACTAGTTTGAAACCACCATTACCGAACTGTTAGGGAAAATCCTTCTTTCTAAAATACTCACCAAAAGAGATCAAAATATATACTGAAACCCTAGAAGACCACGCACTGGTACGATCAAATTTAGATACTGATAATGTCCAATACTACACCATACTCTCCTAGGACTCAGAGATGGAAAAGGGTAGTATTTAAACGTCCCCCAACATGGACACCGAGAAGGTAAACCAAATCCTTAGCCAATATTACCAAATTAACGATTGTGTACAGATGAAAATTAACCGTGGAGAAGGCCATTCCTACTGCAGCAAAAGAAACTAACATAGGCTTGCTCAAAAAGACCAAACACATCGAACATACCTGCATAGAATGGGAAACTTTCCATAAACGCAATAACATAACCCAATGTTATAGATGCCAAGGCTTCGTTCACGGTGCTAATAACTGTGAACAATCATCAATAAAATGCCTGAAATGTGCAGGCTCTCACTCAACAATAGACTGCCTTAGGAAGCGTGGAGTGAACGAAGACCAGATCAAAATGCAATGTGCCAATTGCGATGATGAACACGTGAAGAACTTCAGAGGTTGCCCCAAACTTCAGGAACAGCCAAAGCAGTTCCAAGCAAATAGAATCAAGCAAGGCGTATCGTACAGCCAATCCACCAACAACCAGACAAATAACCAGGACAAACTTACGACTCGCACGAGACAGGAATTCTCACCACCACCATGATACGATTTCGGAGACTTCCAAACGTTAATGAAAGTGATAGATGAACTAAATGAAATGCTCAACAATCAAGGAGCTAATAAATCAAGTCAGAACTTGGAACAACAAATTCTCCCAAGCAAAGAACCAGCAAGAAATCCTTCAAATCCTTGTAAGTCATAGAAAATAGGACACTAAACATATTACTTATCAACATAAACAGGGACCTGGCCCAAAGGAGAAAACCACAAAGCATCGCAATTCTAGAAACGAGACTCAGAATAGAACACCACCCAGGATACATGACTGTGATGTTTATTATAAAAACAGGTCAAACCAAAATGTAGCGTCTGGAGGTATAGCCCTATACCTCCAAAATAACATAGTATACGAGGAAACGACGAACATTGAGTCCATTGCAGTGACCTTCCGAGGAATCAAGGTAGTGGTGGCCTACAACAAAAATAGCGACCGACTTATGACCACCAAGAAATGCTTAATATCACAAACCACCCTAAAGTGATTTTAGTCGGAGATTTAAACGCCAACAACCCGACTGAAAGCCTAGACGTAACCGACAGAACCCTGCTGGAAGCAACATCCGATCATCTTCCGGTTTGGTTCCAAATCGACCAACAAATACAAACAACACCCCCAAACCATTCGTAAACTACAAAAATGTTGATTGGACAGCATACAAAAACACAATTAATTAGGGCATCACAATTAACAACAGAATCATAACGACAAACGAAGTGGACCAAGAAATTCGAAGCCTCGTAAATAACATCACGATGGCCAAAGAATAACACATACCAAAGATAACCATTAATAACAAGCAAAAGTTTCCCAAACACATACAAAGGGAAATACATAAACGGAACAATCTAAGGGTAAGAGCCCAGAGAACCAGCGTTGGAACAATGCATCCTAGTTAAATCACTAATGACGTCACACTTAAACGAGGAGTAGAATAAGAAAATACTAACATCTCACGATGAACTCACACTATTTTAAAACCTTAGATTTACCTGACGAATTTCATCTAGTTCCAATGGACGAATATGGTAAGGATAAAGCTGCGTTTAGTACATCCACAGGGACCACAGGCACTACGCTGATAATAGAATGCCATTTGGTCCTAAGGAAGCACCCGCAATCTTTCAAAGACTTATAAATGCAGTTTTAAGTGGGTTTAATGAACAAAACTATTCTACAACGGAAAAGGAATTAACAGCCATAGTTTGGGCCATTAAACATTTTTGTCCCTATATTTTCGGTACCAAATTCAAAATTGTGACAGACACATATAAAAGGCTATAGGAACAGAAATAGCCCACCAAACATTCCCCCACTACGGGTAACCCACGTAACAGGACAAATAAACACAATTACAGACATACAAGGAAAAACCGAGACGTTTGCAAGTCAATTAATCATAATAAATAAATTCACAGAACAACTATCAGATGATGCCACTAGAAGGCAAGTTTTCCACACCTTCTGGAATTTTGTGGACAGAGCCCCGGACAATGCAGATGACATACCAACCCTAGAGAGATCGCCAGACTTATCTCTAAATCAAAACCCTAAAAGGCCGCAGGGAACGACGGCATTGTTGCAAAAGATTGCAAGTTTCTACCAAGGAAAGCCTTTGTACAGTTAACATACATCTACAATACGTGTATAAAACTCCAGTACTTTCCCAATGATTGGAAGGTAGCCAAAACAATCATGCTCACCAAGCGAAGCAAGGACCAAAACAAGCCAGAAAACTACAGACCCATTTCGCTACTGAACTTCCTCGCGAAAGTACTGGAGCGTATCCTGAACAAACGGATAACCAAGCACCTGGAAAACAACCAACTAATCATCGACGAGCAATTAGGATTCAGACAGAACAGGACGACTAAATTACAGCTCGCAAACTAATAGACCACGCCATGTATGCCAATAACAAAAAACACACCACAACCCCAGCCACACTAGACATGGAGAAGGCATATGACACTGTCTGGAGAAAAGCCCTCATCTACAAAATGATTAACCTAGGATTCAATCCAGCGATAGTTCGAATTAAAAGTAAAACATTCAGCCTAAACATCAGAAACGCGAAATCTGACACAAAATTGATCACAGAGAGCTTACCCCAAGGCAGTGTCATATTCCCCACCCTCTTCAATATCTACATAAATGACATACCGAAGAGACCGAATACCAACCTTGCCCTGTATCCTGACGTGACGACATAGCTGTGTACACCAACTCGAAACAAACCCGAATCATGACTCCAACAGTATGTTTTTAACAGATCCTATAATATTTTCTGGTTCTTATTGTTAAGTTTTATTGTGCTTGTATCATTTTAAAATAAAAATTCATATATTTATAACTTTCATATACAAACTTGTTTAAACCTGCTGATCTTTATTGTTCCAGTTCTACATCAAAAAGATTATCTACTAAACCTTGAAAACTTGCAGGAGCATTATGAAGACCAAGTGGCATCCTGATGGAATTAAAAAGACCTCTGAACCGCACAGTGGAAACTGTATATTGGCGAGAAGAAGGTTCAAGATCAATCTGCCAATAAGCACTTTGAATATCCAACGAAGACAAATATTTGGCACACCCCAGCTTACCTTATATATCAGAAACGTATGGTAATGGGTACGCATTACGGCAATAGACGCCTACTACACTAAGTGGAAACTTAAACTAAATCAAGCAAAGACCAACCTAATACACTTCGACAACAAAAGACTAGCAGACCAGAACTACATCACAATCAACAACAACATACTCAGGACGGCACATGGGACCAGTACGTACCCAATGACAGGATATACAGGAGGGCCAACATACGACCCCTCAAAGACGACCTCCTAAACAGGTCAAGGAAATTTTTCACACAGACGACCAGAAGACTCGACATTACAATGCACATCAAGACATACACCAGAGACACCATGCCATACCGTCAAACTTGTCGGATGATTCATGAAGAAATGCTACAGAACTAAGACCGAAGGGACCCTCGGACCCCTACCACTGTGGAAGGGACCAGCAAGCCACAGGGACAACACACCACACTGTAGTTGAAAATAGCAACCAAATAGATTCAAACGGATTGAAAGAGTGTCAATAACCACTTTATGACAAAACACCCTCTGCTGTGAGACATCTTCTTTTACATAGAAAGTACAAGTGGCCAGTTTTATATTCGGTGTCCTCTTTGCTAACTTTGCTTTACCGAGAAATATTTCACCTTATAAACAATTAATCTCAATTGTGTTTTCGATTTAATAGGCCAATTTCATAGTGTTTCTATGTTAAACACTTTCAAATCGATTATATGAACATTTTCTTTTTAGAATTAACCCAAACGGATGAAGCTAACTAGGTAACTATTAAAAGTATTTTGCAATTTCAACCCATTATAATTTTATTGTTTTATAATAAATACTTAATGAATGACGTAAATGTGGCAATCTGAAAACTGAATTATTTTCTCAATAAAATTTTAAAAAAATTAATTATTACCCACAATCTCACGAAAGGAAATATAAAAAAAAATCACATCCATCACCATCAATTATTTTATTATTTTGTGTGTGGGTTTTTTTTTACTCAGAATCGAACTTAATAAATTCAATTAAATAACAATCAGGAGACTAGTAGACCGAGGATTCGGGAATTATTATTTCATGGTAAAAATAATTTGGATGAATCATGTTTCCTGTCTATAAGCGATTCAAACAGAAGTTAATAAACTATACGTTTTGCGATAAAATAATATCGGAATCGAAATTTTGCGGTTGACGTCTCAATTAACATTTTTTTTGACAATGGTCTACCACATCGAATAAAACATGCATACATAATATTGAAATCTTTTTACCTTTCTTTGGTATTAAACTCTTCAAAAGCAGTATAGCGTTTTCGTCGCACGCCCAAGCATGCATCTTCCTATAGCTGTCTCTTCCTTTTTCAGTCAACTTATCCCAGGGTTTAGGTTTAGATAAAAGTTCCGAAACAGTCCCTTGCGACAGCCCCAGAACGTATTTTGCAAACAGTCTTTGGCCGATGTTGTGAATTGACAATAGTTCTCGAACTCTACGAGCTATGTGGAGAGTGTCTGGAAAAATAAGTTCAGATTTAATAATTTATTAGAAAAATGTATTGGGAATTCCTACCTAAATTTTGTTGCGCATATTTATCCATATTATATCTTAACATTTCCTGAAGTCGTGCTTCCATAGGGTCACCCTTAGGAATAAGGCTTTCCCCTAATCTGCCAACCATCGATCCTGGTGCCATTCCTAAATCTTCAGCAAATTTAAATGTCGATCGATGATCTTCAAATCTATAAGGACTCTTCAATGATTCTTCAGATCTTAGAAAGTTATTCACAAATGTGGCAGCTAGAGGAATGTTGTTGTTGTGATTATTGTGATTATTGTTGTCTTCGTGAGGGCTTTTCGGATTTCCATTCACCATCACTAAGTTTTCGTGGGGGCTATGCTGGCTTGTAGTTTCCATGGGTTGTGGCGTCGAAGCGGTACTGCTCTTCTCCGCATTGGATTCGAGTAGAGGTGTTGTACTTTTTGCTAAGCCATCTGTAGAAGGTGATTTGATGTGAGATTCAATGTTTTTCCTCCACGAGGACACGATCTCCTCGCCCAAAAGACTGCCGAAAGCGTCTACGTTTTGAAAAGGATGCGGAAGGGTTGTGGGAGGTGTTATTGGTAAGGTTGGAAGTTGGAGTGTCGATTGATGATCCGTCACCCCTGGAAAGAAGGTAAGACACAGTTGGAAATAGAGGTTTTGTTAGTTACAACATATTACACACAGATGAATTTGATTGTCTATGTTCCAACAAATATTTTATGTTGAATCAGGAGGAATTCAATAAAAACAATTAGTTAGTATGGGATATGTGGGATTTTCTTTATAAATAAAGACAAAAGCACTGTTTTTTACCAATGACAAATTGATCTAGGTGACCCTAGATTGACCTCCACTTTCAATTTCCAGTCCAATTTAAGATTTGTTTTTGGTTGGGCAACAAGCAGTTTTATTATTTTTTTATTGCCGCACTTTTGTGAAACACTTATTGTTTCTAGTTTTCAAGTATGATTGTTCTTCGGCAATATACCGATGGCGTCACACGTGGGAACTAGTTTATTTAGTTTTATGAAATTCGTTCCCGTTTTGAAGGCTTGATGAATTTATTTGTATGTAGATATTATGTGCGCCCGACTACTTTAATGGGTTTATTTAAATGTTGGGTAGTAGTTGTTGACTTGTTATTATTTTATTATGTTTATTATGGCCATTAAACCAAGGATAAAATTTATTGGGAGATTTTTTTTGGAGCTATAAAGAACGAGATTTTTGTGTGACCATAAGAATTCGATCGTAAAAAGACACATATTTCTGTATGAATATTTTTCCAAAAGGAGAAACTACTAGAATTGAATAAGGCACTAGCTGAGGTCATACACATAACCTTACAATGAAATTTTTGTCCTTCTATCGAAAGTGACGTTATATGATTTTTAACGTAATAGCCAGCGACTGCGTGTGGAAATAGACCTACAAAGCTTTGTTTGTCCCCCCATCGGAAGTCGAATGTGAGGTTGTGTGTGACGTCAGCTAGTGCCTGATTGCCTCAATTTGCCAAAAAGTATAGAAAGTATATACTTCGCCGACAAACTATGAATCTTCAACATCACATTTAACATTGTTTCATTTGCTCAGGAATTTACAACTGATAATTTCACTTTCGTCGACAATAGCAGGTCCCACCACTACTACACAAATTTGATGTTGGTAGGTATCCTCAATTAAAATTGGCTACCAATTTGCAATCCTAATTGTAACTGGTTTGATAATATGAACATTTTTGTCATAGGTACATGATTACTGTATTTTGATTTTAAGATTGTTTTGGATTTGGGGCTCTATTAATTTTAGTCGTTTCTCTGAAAATATCTAGTTATCTTTAATTTGATAACCATCTTGTAGATTAACAATAATTAATTCCATCCCACCTATACAGGGTGTTTTCTAATAATTGAATTTCAATATTTAGGTGGACGATCATTTCAAAAATAAATCACTTAATATTAATATCTGTGTCACTACTTTGGATATTTTAATGAAATTTGGCATACATGCACTATATATCAAGAGGCCTTTTGGTTATACTCGTCTGATTGGTTGAACTGGTTAAAATGTAGTTAAGTATAAAAAAAACAAAGGATCGTTTTCCTGTGGGGTTTGGTTTCTAAAACGTTCTCTTTCCTCGACAGTAGTCTAGCAGGCGAGTCCTTTTTATTTTTAATAATTTTTGATTTGTATTTTTGGATTCTCCCTTATAGATTTTTCAATATATTTTGCTATCAACGCATATTATCATATCATTATTAAGTTTTTACGTGATAAATCTTATCTTATCTGTTCTTGAAATATAAATATTATATTTTAATTTTTTTTTTAAATCTAATTGTGTGCTTCCATTTTGTGTGAGTGCCGATTGGTAGTGTCCCTTTTTCCTGAGGTAAGTCAATTCAGACTTTTGGACTTAAATAGGTACTGCTGCTCTGGTTTTCAGAATCAATTGTTAGTGTGGGAATATTGGACCATTTGCTCTAAATAGAGTCGGTGAAAACCAGATTTGTGTGTCCATCCCTATCAACTCTTTATTTAATCCAGGCAGAGAAAATTGCAACAGCTGACAAATAATGTTAATAACAACAAGTAATTATCCAATAGAACAATCATAATTTGAAAAATAGGACATGGAGTAAGCGATCCGTGTTGCAAAACTAAAGGGCTTAACAGAAATCGACAATCCCAAAAAAATTACTAATCGAAAGCCAATCGACAAAGATTAATGACACTTCAAAAGTCAAAAAATAGAAAGCAAGGATAGCGCAGAGCACATATCAAAGATTATGGAACCAATGATTGAACCGGGTTCAACTAAAACTGGTACTGAGTTCAATAGTCGAATAGAGTAGTTCGGTACATACACCTTGAAAACAGATTATTATGATTTGGAAACATAACTCCAAAAGAAATATTTTTGACGAACAGTTAAGCAAATAAATGTAATAAATACTTTAAGGAAGAATAATTGAATGCACAAGCCACTGCATAAGCTCTCTTTTTTAAAATAATCGGAACTTAACAGCATAGGTAGTTGAGCATATTCAATTCATTTGCACACAGGAGGGTTTTAGGTACTTCCTGGGTTTTCTTACCCACTATAGGAAAGGATCATCACTCACACTAACGCGCATTTGGCTTATGGACTTGATACTGAAGGATCGCAAATAAATTGTCGGGGTGCATCTTTGTACTCCTTCAGAGGCAAAGATGGATTTGGGTGGTGGGACCCTCCTGCAGTTCTTCTTCTTAGGCCACTATACAAGTGCACCATATGTTATCTTACATCCTTAGAGTATATCTAGTGTATAACTGACGGTTTTAGTCTCCATCTTTTCCCAATCGCTCACTTTAGTATCTCAAAAGTTAAGACATTTAGGACTTACGTTCATATGAAGTTTTCTTTTTGAAATGAACCCCTTTTAATATTGACATTCAATTAGAAAACACCCTATATATAAATGTCGTATATCATAGCAAGACAAAATTTGCCTTTCTAATAAACTCCCATGTTCAAAACCATCAGAATATGAAAATAATATGAACCAATATAAAAAATAATGTATTTTTGACAATTGGCCCGCACCATAATGTAATAAATTCTCGCTCCAATTAATCTGGATTTAAAATCGACAAATAAAAACCACCGTTTTCTTTTAAAATTAACAATTTGAAAATAACGAAATATTATTCATTTATTAATTTAGAAACCCAAAAGTGCGACGTTCTGAAGAAATATTAATTATAATACGTGAGAAATATACCTAATAACAATTCGACCGACTATAGAAACAATGAGCAGTTAATTATTAAAACACCCGAAAAAATAAAACCGACCATGACGCATTATCTCTGCAGAGTGTTTATTCATGAGAGAACCCCCTCCCCGAAAAAAAATACAATTATATTAAATTTATTTTAGGTTCTAATTAGAGAAATAAAAACTCTATAAATTAGAGGCGGTGGCGCGTGAAAAAACGGAAACTATTAGTCAAAATCATGTGAAGAGATTGGGAGTTACGATTAGGTGGCCGAATATATGAAAATTACAATTTTAAATTTATCAGCTTTTAATGTATCCGGATTTGTAATAATCGAATTTAGGACAATAGCAGCATATTGTTACAGGGTGGAAAAAAATAATAACGCATAAAAATTCTTACCTTCACTTTCTCTCGAGGGACTCTTATCTCTTGGCTCGTGAACTTGGATTTTCGTCTTCTCAAGCAAAAGCTCAATATCCTTTCCCTGAGGATTATTAACCAAGTCAGATTTCAATATTTTGACTTGTCTTTTTAGCTCGTCATAATCTTTTTGAAATTCTAATTTCGATTCTAGTCTTACTATATGCTGTCGTTTACGTTCTAATTGCTCTTCTAGCCTAGTGATTTGGGTAATGGACGATTCTTGGATTTTGCTGATGCAACCTTGCAGCCTTTGCACTTCTTCGAGGAGTTGGTTTATCTGGAAAGAACAATTAAATTATGTTATGAATTTTTGACGCAATGTTTTGCTGAGATTATTCAACGGTTATGTCTATGGATTAAGTTTTATTTGGTTGGAACTGCGTAAATCGTTTTTACAACCATTTTAATCTTTATTTATATTTTCAGGTGCTAATTTGAAAATAGAAATCTGTAATACTTGGTAATACCTCTATATTCTTACAGTTGTTTTGTTATAGGTGTTATATACTTACATATCTAAATTATTAGGTACATTTTATAATATTTGATTATTTATATTCAAGAAAAAACAATAAACTTTTATCGCGCATCAACTCTAAATCCGTTCACTAATAAAACAAAAAACCCTTGATCCAAATTAAAAATGAAACAATAAATCTTGTGTCCCCGTTTCTCAGACCAGAGAGATATTATGTGCCTACCTATGTCAGATATTCATAAAATTTTCGAAATTTACATAGTCCAAAATAAACATAACGTGAATTTGTAATAATTTTATTATTCAAAAGATTGGCAAGATTAAGACTATTTAATTGTTTATTGTTTAAAATTTATCATATACTTGGTAATTGAATTTTTATTCATGAAAAAATTACCTATAAAACAACCGTATAATGGTTTCTTCATCCAAATCTGGAATATTTAATTTAAATTTTCTCATATTTCCCCAGCGAAACAATTGACAAGAAAGCATTTATAATAAGCAAAATGTCCCCCCTATAACCCAACCCTTCCTTCCGCTTTTTGGCAAGGGCTCGCAAGTTCGATTTGTGCCCCACAAATTAATCAATGCCATCAAAATGGGGATGAAGCAAGATTACTGAAATGTCTTTATTTTCGATATAAGTAATTGATTGATATGGTTCTTATAACTCCAGGGACGGACGAAAGCTCGAAAAAACGGTCACCTTTTCAGAATATCTAAAGAAAAATTCCAACACACTAATTTGTCCAGGTAGGTACTGATATCAATAGGAAATTTAAGTTTCAACTTTTTGAATTTAAAATTTTTAAAAGTCCAAAACTAACGCCAATACGTTTATGGAATAAATCGTGTATTCATTTCTGTCTGTATCGTGCAAATTAATAAGGAAAGGGTTCATTTAATGGGGGCGGTGGTAATCGAAGGAAATTTGATTGTATATGGGGGAATCCTTATATTGATTGAAATTCGCCTTACCCTGACCTGGCTTAGATTTTCATTTTTCGCCACCCTCCTTGCATAAATCTATAAATCCAGGAAGCAAAAACCCGAAACGGAAGCAAAGAGGAAAAACAAAAACAGCATCGAATACTTAACCATGAAATATCTGAAACAATAATTCAAAATCAGCCTCAGAAATCGAGGTTTTGCTTCGCGTTTTTATGGTATAGCAATCGACGTGACGTATGGTTGGCAAACCGCCCCCAAGATTAGTCGCCTGTAGGGAAATATAAAGGAACGTAGGTCCTGATTTAAATCATCGACTGGCTCATTAGGGAGCTTTTTGCGCGACTTTTTAATGAAGGTAAATTTTATTCTTTCATAGACAAACATGTGATGTGAAAATGATTTGGGGCAAAATAATATATTGCAAAATAATCAATAAATACATTTGAAAAGAAAACTTACTCGAGTTTTTCCATCATCGACGCCCGCCATTTTGTTCAAATCCATAAGATGGAACGTTTATCGTTAAACGATATTCAAATGACTGTCTTGATAACTGATAATTATTATTATTAATATCATATCAGAATACAATCTCGAGCGAATCATATTATAAATAAATTAAAGTTAATAAATTTATTGTACCACCAGTGTCAACAAAACTTGATTTTAATCCCTGATAATGATAAAGGAGGAACGCAAATGAGAAAAAATGTTAATGTAGAGATGGCAAACATTGATTTAACCTGGTAGGATAAATATATATTATGATACATATTTCTGTATAAGATGTTGTTAATGGCAGAGTTAGTTCCAGTGACGCAGGAAAAGGAAAAATCATAATGAATGAACTAGTTCCTCGAAAATTCAAGAAAGCTTAGTTAAAATATTTATTAATATAAAGATAAGTTGTTTGAAATTGTGGCCCAATTTTTTAAACTGCACTTCAGATAGCAATTTCAATTTCGGTAACAAATTTCCAGCTGAAATACTTCTTCTGTAAATGCGAATCCGCTAATGATACTGATGTCAAGATAATAGAGATAAAACAAAACTAGGCCAATAAAATTTTTGGTGCCAGATGAAAATACAATAATAACTGAAAGTTTTGTATCAGTAGCATTCTGCCAAACATTGGAATTTTCATTGACATTTTAGAAAATCTTGAACAAATCAGAGAAAAAACCAAAGAGATTATTTAAGACACAATTGAAAAACAAACCTTGTCAATAAATTAGAGAATGGCATTATAAATTACTGAAGATGTAGCAGCTGGATGATATGTTACAAAACAAAACTAGCAATGGAGAGTCCTAAATACCTACTGCCTGCGTCTCCATAATACTCAAAGCCATTAACGATTAAGTTGATCACATATCTTTTACATGAAATCAGTGATGATTGATTTGAAAGGGGAGCCTTTACAGGCAGCTCGTAGCTCGCATGTGGCAGGCCAGTTGGTACAGCCCTGTCTTACCTTGGTAGGTCCGATACCCAACCCAAGATCTTTAAACAAAACGGTTCTTCTTTACCAAAAGATGAGAGTTGTTGACGATCATCTTCGGGTAGAGATATAAGATGATGACAATCATTAGTAGCCCACTAAATGAAAAAACGAAATATTGATCTGATCAAATTGTTTTCAAAAGTGCCTGTTTCGTAATATGAAAGCCGTAGAAAGCTTCTCAACAGAATTATATGTTTTTTGGGGTGCTGAATACGAATCTGAAGTTTGCTGCCTCGTAGCAGTATCGGCTTAGGTCGAAAACCGCCAAAAACCTCGAAATTTTCGGATTTTTTCCGGTTTTTTGGTCATATCTTGCAAATGACGCATCGTACGAAAAATGTCGCAGTATTCAAAGTTGAAGCGTATAAAATTCTGCGTCGAATGATCTCCCTAACCTTGTTACTGTTAAATTTATAAGCTCGCCATCCCAGTTGAGAAAAGCCAATTTTAATGAACTTTTCTGAAAACTGCAATAAAGTTACTTTTAGACGACAGTGATTTCAAAACAACCACTCATCATTGTAAACTTTCAGCAGTACCGGTTGAGTAAATTCTTCAAAACTCTCTCTACACAGCCAGATCTTGAAGAGATCGTTGGGAAATTCTTAGATCCTTCAGCCCAGCAAGTGGATATGGCTGCTGCTGGAGAAAAATTTTTGGTTGGAGTATTGAATGATATGCGTAATATCCATCCATTTTCTATTGATCAATGTAAATTATTGTTTTTTTTTCATTACTCAATTGTTTTCAACCAATGAAAATATCTCATTATTCTACTATTTAAGAGCCAATCAGAAAATTTGACAAGTTGACAACATAATTCAACCTTCCAATCGGTCATTTAGACAACTGATTTGGACTTGTGCTAACCTAACCCCACTTTGCCCTCCAGCTGTCAGAATTGTCAATTAATTTTGTTACGAAAATTAAATAAATAACCGCATAACTCGTGCCTATTATCTATTAATCATAGAAAAAGTATAGTATTCTACTCGTCGGTAATGGCTATTACTCACTCGGATGATTACACTACTCGCCTGCGGCTCGTAGTGCAAACTTCATCCTTCGTTAGTAATACCTATCATTACCCGCTCGTTGAATAATATACTATTTTTATAAATGGGTACTGATTATTTCCTGTTACATCTACATACATAATACTTATAAATCCTCAAGTCAGGCTCACAAAAAATGGAGGGAGAAGTAATTTAGGGTTGGCAAGTGTAGTTTGTGAAGTATTGACAGGCACAGACTTTTTATTATTGGACCCCTTCATTTTGTCAAACAGGCATTTAGAGGGAAAATGAAATTATCAGTTTATGCGTATATATTGATCAAAATTTAAAATTTTGGTCCTCACTGAACTCAGCATTTGGTTGGAGTACAACTTTTATTCAATTATTTTTTCACATAGAGTGGTTGTTTTGAAATCACTGTCGTCTAAAAGTGAGTTCATTGCAGCTTTCAAAAAGTTCATCAAAATTGGCTTTTTTTCGAGTGACGGTGGCAAGCTTATAAATTTGACACTAATAAGGTTAGGGCGGTCATTCGACGCAGAACTTTATGTTCTTCAACTTTGAATACCGTGACATTTTCCGTACGATGCGTCGTTTGTAAGATATGGCCAGAAAACCAGAAATAGTCCAAACATTTCGAGGTTTTTCGCGATTTTCGGCCTGAGCTGGTTCTGCTACGAGGCAGGAAACTTCAGATTCGTGGGTATTCAGCACCCCAAAAAACATATAATTCCGTTGAAAAACCTTCTTTCATGTTACCAAAAAATTACTATTTGATTGGACTAATATTTGAAATTGAATTTTGATGAAAATTCTTCTACAGGCCCCGCAAGGCTACATGATCTTTTCAGGTCATCCTGGAGTCAATGATGACTCCTAGATATTTGAACATGAAATCAGTGAGTTTGAATAACCTACCAAAATCGTTTAGATCAGAAATTCGATAAAGCATACTTCAATTTCAAGACGGAATCGACACTATTCAAATCTAGGTACACGTGAAACCATGAGGCTTGGAACAACGGATTACTAATCTAGAACGACGAAATGGAAGCAAGAATGTCAAAAGATCAGATGTATAGGTATAGGTAAAAAATTTCTAGGAATATCGATAATATTTCTAGCAATATTCAACTGAATAGGGACAAAGCCGCATCAAGTAGAGAACTTCACCAAAGCTTACCAATTAAGCTGCTTTTGCAAATTCTGGAATTATCTTCTGTAAATAATACAGTGATTACTGCCATATAACAACTTCATGGTATATTATTCTCAAGCATATAATGCTGGGATACTGACTTTCTTGTGAAAATAAATCGTAGTCT